CTAACAACTGAAGTAACGTTAACTTCTATCTTTGGTACCTTTGCTCCTAAATTTCAAGGACTAAGATTTTCTGCAAACCAAAGCTCCCTTATGGCTCAGTGAGCTTTTTGCACACATAACTGAGGAACAAGCAATGGTTTAGTTCATGTCGGAAGATCTTTCAATTTCAAGTTCCTCACTCTTGTTTTGAAATCCCTCCACTCCTCTGCACCCCCCTCTCTGACCTCCTCTCAACAGTGCCCGTTGCCTTTGCTCCACCAGGTCTGGCCTCCTCCCTGTCCCCCGAGTCCTCCGCTCCACCATCGGCGCAGTGCCTTCAGCCGCTACGCCCCGAGGCTCTGGGACTCCCTTCCTCACTCCCTTCGCCTCACTTCCTCTCTTCCTACTTTCAGATCTCAGCGAAAGTCCTTTCTTTTCGACCGCGCCTTTGGTCACTTTCCTCCCCCTCCCTCTGGCTCGGCCCCGGGATCCGTTACTGTGAAGGGCTCTGAGACACCGTCTATAAATCCAAGTTGTTGTTGTTAAGGCGCTATATCAAATACAAGGTTTATTATTATTATTATTATAATATTCCTTGCACTTGATGTAATAACGTCAACTTCAAAAATCTCGACACAGCAATTAGAAACTATCATTGCAAATTTCAGGTTTTCCCTTCATATTGTATCCCGCTACAAGATGGATCTGACAGAAACCTTCGAAATGTTATTTCTGTAACGCAGTGTTTCATTTCCAGTAAACAATGACTGTGTGATTCCTAAACAAGGCGACCTTAACACAACTAAACCTTTACCTACTGCAGTGCCGAGCCACTGAGACCCAAGTTCCACCTTTGAAATTCTGACCCTCAGCTTTGAGACATCATTGATTCAGGTTACAAATATGGTCTAATGTATATGTAGTAATAATGCTTGCATTTGATATACTTCTGATAACTCAACCTGGCTTAACTCGTCACTGCAATGCAAGTCATTGTGTTGTCAATATCCCTGCTGCATTTATTTATATATAAAACATATGCCTAGCGTTCCAGACAACTCATCACCGAGCCCTTGGGAGTGCTGAGTTATCAGCAGTTTATTGTATTGCCTTTCACTGGACATACAATAATAATACCTATATTTGATATAGTGCCTTAGCAGGTTGTTGAGACGGCTCAAAGTGCTTCACAGTATGTACTGTAAGTGGATTGACTGTCTATTTTGTGGGCGAAACGCAGCAGCCAATTGCGCACAACGGTGTCCCACAAACAGTCGTGGATTGAGCGACCAATTAGTTTGAGGGATTATTACCCCCGAAAGGGATCCATCTGTCGACAAACAGCCAGGTTCCTATTTACTTCTAGGTAAACAGAGGTAAGGAAAAGTTTAAAAGTCCCAAATTCAGCAGTGAAAATATTGTACAATGCAATCTCAAACAATATGGGATTTGCCAATCAAAACCAACTATTTGGGAACCTCAATGATTTTCAGACCCCACCAAGCCCACCGTACCCAGAATGAACCCCACCAGCTCTGACTCTATTTTCTAATAATAATAATGTCCTACATCAAATGCAAAGATTATTATTATCATCATCATCATCATCATCAATGTCAAGACGTCGCAAAGTGCTTCACAGGATATATTGTAATGTGAATTGATTGTGTGCGTTGTCTGTGAAAAACACAGCAGCCAATTGTGCACAGCAATGTAATCGCAAACAGCCTTGGAGTGAGTGACCGACGTTATCTGGGGGATTGTTGGCCAGGACATGCGTAGAGAGAAACTCCCTTCTCTTTTCGAATAGCGCCGCGGGATCTTTGACATCCACCCAAACAGGCAGACGGGACCTCAGTTTAACGTCTCATTCGACGGTCAGCACCTCCGACATTGCAACACGTCCCCCACCCCAGCACTGGATTGGAGCGTCATCTTAAGAGTGTGATTCCACATCCTGACGTGGGGGTTGAACCCACAACCTTCTGACTCAAGAGGCGAGAGTTGCTACCCCTGCACCAGGCTGACACACAATATGTGAACTGACAGTTCTCCAGAAGAGCTGGATGGGATCAGTGTGAGCCTTCGCTGGTCGTCTATGAACTTAATAACAACAAACAAAAACAACTTGTATTTATACAGCGCCCCTCCCTCACCAGAGTAGCATCCCAGACAGCTCGACAACAACCAGAGCTTCTGTTTTTGATTTTGTGGAGGAGCCACATCTCCTCGATCAGCCGGAAAGTGGTTGGGCTGTTTCCCAGCCAGGGGTGTTAAGCTCTTGAGATGCCCGCATGATTTGAAAGGCACTATATCAATGTGAATTGAACTGTAAGGGTGTCGATCACACGGCGTCACCGTGAGTAGCGTATTCCGTAGCTTAAAAAGTCATGGAATTAAAATAGCCTCAAGCGATATTTTCTGCCGTGAGTAGTAGAACATCAAGCGAACCATTCAGGTATTGACAACACACCTATCGTGATAATAGGTTCTGCAAAGGAATCTTCCCTCCTTCCCTGAATACATTATAATATAGGTTTCAATCCTTATAAACAATGGGCGACAGCACACAACAACAAATTGCACTTTGCAAAGCGCCTTTCACATCCCAAAGTGCTGGATTTGCACCCGAGCTCGGAGTTGGGATCAGGAGGGGTGGAGGGCAGGGAGGGTTAGGGGGTAGGAGCAGCAGAAGCACGGTCGAAGCGGAGGGCCTCGAGACAGGCCTTGAAAGGAGATGAGGGAGGGTGGGGGGGGGGGGCGGGCGAGCAAAAGGACTGTGGGATGGAGTTCCAATGGGTGGGGGCAGTGAGGCTCAAACACAGGGGATATCTCATTAGAAACACAAAGCAAAGAGCACTCCAGCAACCAATCAACATGTGATAAGACATTCCCCCTCAACCTCCCTCTATCCCCCACCCCCCGCCGCCCCCCCATCAGACTCAGATCAACCAACCATAAACTGACGTAATAATAAAGAGAGCAATTCAATTCTGCTTACGTGTAAGATAATATAAAATTTCCCTGTAAATTTACTAAATACCGTTTGAGGGGTGGGTGTGGGGGGGGAGGGGTGAGTCACTCTAAATATGCAGTTCCTTATTAATTCATTATTAATTACAGTCTGTCATGGTTCAGAATGCTTTCCCTCCCTGGAGAAACAGCTCCTCCCTCACAGCACCCCACCCCACACCCAACCCCTTGGTGGCCATCCTTCCAGCCCTCCAGAAAAACCAACAGGGAAAACAAAATACAGTGGTCAACTGTGTGACTCCCCCCCCACCCCTGGACCCCTTCAACCGTGATCAGTGGAGGCATCATGGAGGGGGGGGAACAGGAAAGGAGGGAAAGATCACCAGGGAGAAGAAAAGGGGGGAGAGGGGGAGGGGGGAGAAGGGAAAAGAGGGGGAGGGGGGGAGAAGGGAAAAGAGGGGGAGGGGGGGAGAAGGAAAAGAGGGGAGGGGGGGGAGAAGGGAAAAGAGGGGGAGGGGGGGAGAAGGGAAAAGAGGGGGGGAAGGGAAAAGGGGGGGGGAGAAGAAGGGGGGGAGAAGGGAAAAGGGGGGGAGGGGGGGAGAAGGGAAAAGAGGGGGGGGGGAAGGGAAAAGGGGGGAGGGGGGGAGAAGGGAAAAGGGGGGGGAGAAGGGAAAAGAGGGGGGGGGGAGAAGGGAAAAGGGGGGAGGGGGGGGAGAAGGGAAAAGGGGGGGGAGAAGGGAAAAGAGGGGGGGGAGAAGGGAAAAGGGGGGGGGGGGGAGAAGGGGGAGAAAAAGAGGAAGGGAAGAGAGAAGCCAGGGGCAGGGGGAGGATTGAGAGGGTGAGTGAGGTGTCTCCCAGCAGCAGAGCAACAATGTAGCGGGGAGACTGGATACAGTGGCGCTGAGCTGGGGCTGGGTCTGGGGTGGGGCTGAGCTGGGGTGTGGGGGGGCTGGGGTGTGGGGGGGGCTGGGGTGTGGGGGGCTGGGGTGAGGCTGAGCTGGGGTGTGGGGGGGGCTCGGGTGTGGGGGGAGCTGGGGTGGGGATGGGGTGTGGGGGGGGCTGGGGTGTGGGGGGCTGGGGTGGGGCTGAGCTGGGGTGGGGGGGAGCTGGGGTGGGATGGGTGTGGGGGGGGCTGGGGTGTGGGGGCTGGGGGGGGGGCTGAGCTGGGGTGTGGGGGGTGGGCTGAGCTGGGGTGTGGGGGGGGCTGGGGTGGGGCTGAGTGGAGCTGAGTGGGGGGGGGGGCTGAGCTGGGTGTGGGGGGGGTGGGGTGGAGCTGGGGATGGGGTGTGGGGGGGCTGGGTGGAGCTGAGCTGGGGTGTGGGGGGGATGGGGTGTGGGGGGGGCTGGGGTGGAGCTGAGGTGGGTGTGGGGGGATGGGTGTGGGGGGCTGGGGTGGAGCTGAGTGGGGTGTGGGGGGTGTGGGGGGATGGGGGGGGGCTGGGGTGGAGCTGGGGTGGGGGGGATGGGGTGTGTGTGTGGGGGGCTGAGCTGGGGTGTGGGTGGGGGGATGGGGTGTGGGGGGGGCTGAGCTGGGGTGTGGATGGGTGTGGGGGGGATGGGGTGAGCTGGGGTGTGGATGGGGTGTGGGGGGGGGGCTGAGCTGGGGTGTGGATGGGGTGGGGGGGGAATGGGGTGTGGGGTGGGTGTGGATGGGGTGTGGGGGGCTGAGCTGGGGTGGGGGGGGGTGTGGGGGGATGGGTGAGCTGGGGTGTGGGTGGGGTGGGTGTGGATGGGTGTGGGGGGGGCTGAGCTGGGGTGGGGGGGGGTGGGGGGGGGCTGAGCTGGGGTGGGGGTGGATGGGGGGGGGGGGGCGCCCTGTGCTCGCGAGGCCCTCGCCTTCCCTCCCCCACAAGACGGGGCAAAAGGTGGGGCTTTGTGGCAGAGTCCCCTCTCACCTCCACACACACACACACCCCGGGGGGGGGGGGGAGAGAGACAGAGAGACAAGGTATGTGTGTGTGTGTGTGTGGGGGGGGGCTGCCCCACCCCACCCATGGGGTCAGGCTGTGGGACAGACTCCCCCCCCTCCCCACCCCTCTGTCACTTACTTTCTCCACCTCGGAGTGCATGGCTTCTCCTCTTGTCCTCCTGTGTGTGTGGGTGTGGGTGTGCGCTCACTGCGGGGCTCCGGCCTCGGGAGGAGCCTTGCGGTTGGGGTGTGAGGGAGTGAGTGAGTGAGGGAGGGAGGGAGGGAGGGAGTGAGGGAGGTTGAGGGGTCGCCCCCGCCCTCTGGGTGTGTGTGTGTGTGTGTGTGAGGGGGAGGGGGCGGTGGAGCTGCCTGACCCCACCCCGCGGCACCGCCCCGGTGGGGGTGGGGGGTGGGGGTTGGGTGGGGCTCAGCTCTCCGCAGAGCTCAGGCTCTCTCTCCCCCTTTGTGCTGAAGGGAGAGGTTTTTATTTTATTACTGTCTGTGCCCTTATTTCTAATGATCTGTCACTGTCCTCACCCCCTCCTCACTCTCTCCCTCCTCACTCACTCACTCTCTCTCCCTCCTCACTCGCTCCCTCACTCCTCTCTCTCTCCCTCCTCACTCACTCACTCTCTCACTCTCTCTCACTCACTCTCTCTTCCCTCCTCACTCTCTCCCTCCTCACTCACTCACTCACTCACTCTCTCTCGCTCCCTCCTCACTCACTCTCTCTCCCTCCTCACTCACTCTTTCTCTCTCCTCACTCACTCTCTCTTCCCTCCTTCCCTCCTCACTCTCTCTCTCTCCCTTACTCCCTCCTTCCTCACTCACTCTCTCTCCCTTCTCACTCTCGCTCTCCCTCCTCACTCTCTCTCTCCCTCCTCCCTTCCCTCCTCACTCCCTCCCTCCTCACTCACTCTCTCCCTCCTCCCTCCCTCCTCACTCTCCCTCCTCACTCACTCCCTCCTCACTCTCTCTCTCCCTCCTCACTCCCTCCCTTCTCACTCACTCTCCCTCCTCCCTCCCTCCTCACTCTCCCTCCTCACTCGCTCCTCACTCTCTCCCTCCTCACTCCCTCACTCCCTCCCCCCTCACTCACTCTCTCCCTCCTCACTCCGTCCCTCCTCACTCACCCCCTCCTCCCTCTTCACTCCTTCCTCACTCACTCTCCCTCCCTCACTCTCTCTCCCTCCTCTCTCCCTCCTCCCTCTCCCTCACTCCCTCCTCCCTCACTCTCTCTCTCCCTCCTCCCTCACTCTCTCTCTCTCCCTCCTCCCTCCCTCCCTCCTCACTCTCTCTCTCTCTCCCTCCCTCCCTCCCCACTCACTCCCTCCTCTCTCACACATACACAGAGACTGAACAGCCAATAAAACATATTCCTTTTATTTAGGGGGGAATTCAGTGAAGGAGGGAAGGGGTTCCCCTTTCCTCCCCCCCCCCCCCCCCCACCCAATGCTTTCACATAATGAACTGAATGACTTTTGTTCTCCCATTTACCAGTATTTCTTTCTGTCCCTCTCTCTCTCTCTCTCTCTGGTCTGCCTTGGCTCTCAGCGCAATCTCTTCCACTTGACCGTGAATGGAAGGGGAGGGGTGGGGGGGGTGGAATGGTGGTGTCTGGAATGAATTATGTTTTGTATGTGACATCAACCAGTCGTGTCTGTGTGTGTTTGCTTTAAATCGACGTGTGTATACGTGTGTGTGTGTGGGTGTATGTGTCTGTATGTTGTGTGTGTATTCAAGGTCAGATCCAAATTGGCTGCAAGGTTGTTAGCAAACCTGGCAAAGTGGGTCACTGTCCATTTTCTTTCCTGAACGTGAACGCAGTAAACACTAATAATAATCCTTGCAATTAATATAGCGCTTTTCACGTCGGGAGGACGTCCCAAAGCGCTTCACAGAACACACTGTAAAGTGAATTGACTGTATATTTGTGGGCGAACGCGGCAGCCAATTGCGCACAGCAATGTCCCACAAACAGTCGTAGATTGAAAATGACCAATTTATTATTGTTTTTGGTTTTGGAGGGATTATTATTAGGCTCTGTGTGGAGTAAGGAAACTTGCCCAAGGTTTCGCCCTCTGCCTGGAATTGAACTCAGGTCTCTCCGCTTGCAAAGCGAGTGCTCCAACCACTGAGTGCTCCAACACTGACCCTACGCCTCCCGCCTGTTGTGCAAAGGCAGCTATTTTAAGTTGCACATTTTCATCACGGACAAGTTTGTGACCCCCCACCCCCCCCCTCAACCCTCAGAGTTTCAGCGCCTTGGGACGGGGGCTCAGCGGTTGAAAGTGTAGTCACCGATGGTGGAACGGAGGGCATGTGGGACAAGCAGGAGGCCGAGCCGGTCGAGCACAGTCAGAGGGTAGTAAGTTGGGTAGGAATGGGGTGGGTACGCAGGTCAGAGAGGTAGGGAGGTGCCAGGGCATGGAGGGATTTGAAGGTGTGTGTGAGGATCTTGAAGTTGATCCGTTCGGTGATAGGGAGCCAGTGGAGACTGGCTAGAACTGGTGTGATGGGGGTACGGAGTTTAGCGCGGGTGAGTGAGCGGGCGGCGGAGGTTTGGATTAACTGGAGGTCTACCCACTGCGCCACGCTCCCTGAGCCCTAACCTCAAGCACCGTCCACGGCAGTTGTCTCCAGCACAATCACCTTCACATTGTCGCACCCACTTACCTATGGGGGACATGTGATTGCTACATACATGTGATTGCTACATGCCTGTGTGGCACAACGGCGGTCTTGCTTAGTTCACTAATCCAGGGGAGAAGCGAGAGCGTTTCAAACCATGGGACAGAGGAGAAAAGTCCCGCTGAAAAATTCATAATTGCATCTTTTCCACGCTTTAGATATCTTTGTTAAAGTCGAGATATTTTTGTCTGACCAGAGAGAGGGGACAATTTTTGTTTTCGTTTTAAAACGTGCACAAGCCTAACCAACGGCCCAGTGAACTCAGCCCACGTCACATGGAATACAGACTAGCTGGCGGCAGGTTGGAATCCTAGTCAAGTGAGCTGATTTCACCCAGGCCATTAGTTGAAGTGCTACCAAATGCCTCGGTGACCTGACTTTGGGATAGGGAACTCAGCTACACATCGTGGCTATTCACAGACGTCTGTTGCAGGATGCGCGCGTGTGTGTGTGTGTGTTTGTGGACAGGATTGGGTTCAGACTCAATGTTCCTCTGCAATGGAATTGCCTGATACTCACCGTCAAGGCTTACATGTGAATAAAGGCCCACTTGGGCCAAAAAAAAGAAAAAATAATAATGCACATAGTATATCTCCCAACTTCTGTATCGTCAAATTAAATATCTACTCCACGTTACTAAGCCAGTGGCTTCCCATCACACAGAGGATATATTTCAAGATCTTGGTTCTCATCTTCATGGGCTTGCTCCCTCCTACCTCTGCGACCTTAACCCCCTACCAACCAGCTCGCTCCATCTGCTCAGCAGGCTCCGGCCTGCTTCACGTCCCCCGCCTCTCTCACTCCACCATTGGTGGGCGGGCCTTCTGCCACTCTGCCCCCACCTTCTGGAACTCCATCCCACGGTCCCTCTGCCTTCTCCCCTCCCTTGCCTCTCTCAAGACCCGTGTCAAGACCCTCCTCTTCGACCCTCCTTCCCCCGCCCTCCCCGATCCCGACCCCCAGATCCAGTCCGAAGCACGTGAAAGGCGCTATACAAATGTAATTTTGTTGTTGTTGTCTAAGCTGACACTTAATGCAACACATCCTCAGCAGTGCAATGCTGAGGGTATGTTGCATTGTCGGAGGTGACGTCCTTTGGATGAGATGTTAAAACCGAGATCACCTGTCTGCTTGTTCAGGTGGGACATTAAAGAATCCCATGGCACTAATCAATAACAGAAGGAAGTTTCTCTCAGGATCCTGGCCAACAATCCCTCAAATAAAAATTGGTCAGTCACTCGAGGCTGTTTGTGGGATATTGCTCTGTGCCACTGGCTGCTGCATTTCGCTCACAAAATACACAATGAATCAAAATTTACAGTATATCCTGTGAAGCAGCTTGAGATGTCTCGACGACGTGAAAGGCACTATATCAAATGCAAGGATTATTATTATTATAATTAAATTGGCAGAAAAATTCAGCGTTCATTAATAATCAGAGCAGAAACCCGTGGGACATTGCTGAGCGAAAATTGGTTGCCACGGTTGCCTACAAAGTATACAGTCACTCCACTTTACAGAAAACTCTGTGAAGCAGGACAAAACTTTAGGCACGTTTCCTGACTCTACACACATGCGTGCCTCTGTTTGCGTAGCAGTAAGTAGGAACCTGGTTGTTAGTCAACTGGCGAGTCGCTTTTCCAGCGATACGAATCTCACCAAAACAATTTAAAAAAAAATAATTTGGCCACTCAATCACGACTGTTTGCGGGACACTGCTGTGTGCAATTGGCTGCCATGTTTCTCTCACAAAATATACGGTCACAACACTTTACACTACATCCTGTGAATCGCTTTGAGACATCTCAAAGATGTGATGAGTCGCTATATCAAATGCAAAGATTATTATTATCATTATCAACATTTGACAAATGTTTTGATGTTATAGACACTACATGAGATGTAAGATTTATTATGATTGCTCTCATCTTGAATGCAGGAGACTTTGAAGATGTAGATAACTAACATTTTTCCAATGTAAAATTGTTGAGGGAAGAAATACCTGAGGCACCTTTTGGTGAAAATAGTTTTCAGACGTCCTTTTACAATAGCACTTCAATACTAAGAATGCTCTTCGTGTTTGAGTATGAGCCCAACCCCCATAATGTTCACATTGCAAGTGGCTGTAGATTCTAATCACCTAACCTTCCCCCCACAAAATGCCTACCCCTGACTCCACCCGATAGCACTGCTCATCACAGCGCTACACACACACACGCAGCACTGAGTTACTAGAATTTTTTTACAGTGCATATACCGTAGGAGGGCAGACTTTTTTTTAAAACAAAATTGTGCAGGTAGATTAAAAAACTATTAACATTTTCCCCTAAAAAATATAGAAAGCAAAGGGTTACCATTGAGGGATCCAATAAGAGATAACAATGGCAGTAAATACACACAAGTTAGTGTTGGGGGAAGGGTCTGACTGTGGATTTGTGGGGCCTACTCTCTAATATTGTGATGCACAATAGGAGTTCAGCAATGTAAATGGCCTTCTATTA